AGAAGAGAAGAAGAGAAGAGAAGAGAGGAGAGAAGAGAGAAGGTTTGCAATGTAACAGTACTGGCGGCGCCAGTGTTTATTTTACTATATATAGGGCGACAGAAATAACAAGGGAAAAGACCCTTGTGCCCCTGAGTACAATAACAGACATAACAGAAATAAAAAATGAAATAAAAAAACACTTTAATTAGCCAAACAGGCCCTAACATCTACAACTAAGTTATTTTAACATTATTCCAACAATGTTTATAACTAAAATGATCTTATATATTATTCAAATTCTCTTATTAATTAGTAAAAGGGGTTCAATAGCATATTCTTAATTAGTTTCATCATTCATGCTGCAAGAAATATCATTTAAGTTCATCTAAGATAGAAGGGTGACTTGAAATTCTCTTTTGCTTAATGATCAGTGGCTAGCTTTGAAAAGGCTGATAGATGTGAGTATGGGGGTTTTAACCCCTCTTTCAGAGCAACTAACAAAGCCATTGCCTAATGCCATGGTCCTAATAAATCTCAAGGAACTATCATCTGGGACTTACAAGCTTTTGCTAGAAGGTGCCAATTTGGATTTTTTTCAGAACCTTGTTAATTGAATTAGTCACATTTTAATTCTGCAATTCCTATAATTGATTGTTTCATTTTAAACCCTTATTTCTCAGGAACACGCTTGGCCATTTCTGTCTGTGGGGATGAACCCTATGAGGAGTTGGACATTTTCAGGAACATGCTTGGTAATTTCATATCATGCAAATCCTTACGTATATCTATACATATATATGCATTTACATATGTCTGTATGCACACAAATGGAACATTATTGGTGTAATTTCTCATGATATATTGCATTTGTGTGATCCTGGTTGATGCTATAATAGTTAACAATGGCTCTGATTGGTCCTCCAAATTTATTTATCTATTTATTTCTTGGAGTTAATATTTCCCTTGCAGATGTATGGACTGCTTTTAGGATTATCCAATGTGTGATAGATATTTTCCCATTCACTGGATGCTTTTTTCTTACTATACATGTTAAATTTCAGCTCAAAAAAAAAAAAAGATTACTGGTTATCCCATGTTTAGCCAATGCTTGACTAAACCATTTGCCAATCTTTGAACTTAATAAAATGTTGCATCTAGTTCCCTTGCAAAAAATCTGATTTTCCTCATAGCATGTCTATACTGCCACAATGCATGGTTATTTTTCTTCATCCAGCTAACCACAACCCCATGAGCAGTCCCATGAGCAAAAGTTGAGATGAATTTAGATACAGGTTGATTCTTGTTATAAGATAAAGGGAAGAGGGTTGGAAAGAAATTCCTCAAAAAGGATATAAAATGATATGGCTTAACAAATCATACTGAAGAACATCTGTATCTACTGAAATTTAATTAACTTGGAAAGACATAAGTATTAAGAAATGACAATTAGCTTCAAAATCTAGATATAGAAACATGATAGTACCATATTAAGTGAAATACCAATATCTCTATCCATGTCCATGATCTTAGGAAATAGAGAGTTCTCTCCCTGTTTGTTAAGGGAGAGTGGATACTTGATGTTCTTTTCTCTTTTCGAGTTCCTGGCTTACATTGGCCTTAACAAGTTTGTTTGCACCATTTTGTTCATCACCCTGCTGCAGTATGCTGAAATTTTTTTTTTCAAGAATCAAGAAAAAAAATTACTTCTTAAAGCAGTATGCAGTATGTTGGAATTTATGGTCTATCATGGAATAAAAAACATTACTTTTTAGAAAAATGGTTTTATCTATTACCACCATGAAGTTTTTGGATCAATCTAACAGATTTTACAAAGGCATTGTGCATTGATACACATTATTTTTTTTTCCTTTTTCTCTTCTTTTTCCTTGGAAAAGGTAGTTTGTTGATAGTAGTGGTTACTGAGGGTTTCCTACATGTTATTAGATCATATATTATATTCTATCTTATCTATGTGAAGGAACATTGTTGTCAATCCTTAACATCCATCAGATGGTTTGTCATCTTATATCATTGCCAACACAGTTTTCCATAAAGAATGTCATTAAAAAGAATACTCCAAATTCTGAGTAGAATTTGTGAGCCTAATTTCTTAGTCCAACCATTGGATTGAGTTAAGCTTTTGGTATGTTTTAAAGGGAATAGAAGGATTCCTCAAAGAAGATAGGAGACTATTTATAGACTACAACATGGTAACAAAGAAGAGAGATGATCAGGTGACTTTATGAGTGAGTGGAAATAAATAAGCTGCCTAGTAGACTGGTTCAGTTGGTAAGGTCTTTGGCTAGTTGAAACAGAGACTTGGGATATGGCAATTAGATGATTGAGTTACCATTTTCATATGATTCAATTAGTAAGTCTGAATCATTTCAATCTAATAGGATCAAAACACACACACACACCCACCACTATTAGGCTTTTGTCTTGCACTTTCAGTCCAAGTTCAAATCAAAAGGCCTACATCAATATGGCAATAGGCCTATACCTTATAGCCAAACTCCACAAACATATCTAAAAGTTGTCTAAGAAAACCAAAATATATAGTATAACAAAACATTGAATACTATATATACAGTCAGAGAATCTGGTGTCACACAGCAAAGTGGGACGGATAGAGTAAATAAGATCTAGATGGATTCATTTCCACAAATTGAGTGTTTGAAAAGCTAAGACCTAGTTTATAGAAGAGTTTTAATATAAAACATGGATGATAATATATACAATTACTGGATTCAACTTGGTTTAATGAGTTCAATAGAGCAGAATTCTTTTAATGGTTTACTAAAACTTTTGAAGGAATTTACTTGTTTACAAGCATTGGAGGTGCATATTCTGAAACTAACATGGTTGTTCTATACATGTGAAGGAATAACTCATCATATTTAATATTTATTTTATTTTCCAAGTGGATATTCTAGGATCATTTATGGCTTCACTGAATACAAGCATATTGACAAAGCGCTCTTGATATTTGATCAAATGAAGAGCCTAAAATATAAGCCAGATGTGATAACTTATAATACAATTTTAGCAATGTTGGGACAAGCAGGTCAGCTAGATGAAATGTTGCACAAGTCTGCAGCCATGTAAGAAGTTGATGTGGTCCCAAATAGCGTCTCTTACAACACTTTAATAAACAGCTTGGGGAAGGTGGGCAGATCGGATTTTGGGAGAAGACGAAGAAGTTTTTGTAAAGAAATCTTTTGAATGGAGTTTGTGTTTTTGTTTTTTGTATTTCATTTCAATTTGGAATGATTAAATATAAAATAGGGTATTTGAAGCAAATTAAAATCTTATTTAGTATTTAAAAATAATTATAGGTTATTTTGAATGAATTTCAGGTTATTTGGGCAGGTGTTAATATATATATAATAGTTTTAGCGAAAGTCAGTGCATGTCTTTAGCGACAGTCGCGACAATTTTGAAGCTTTACCGACAGTCAGGAAAACTGCCGCTAGAACTTTTAGCGACAATTGTTTTAGTGGCAGTTTGTCGACTGTCGCTAAAAGTCAATTTTCTTGTAGTGAATCGGGTTGGGTTAAAACACTTTCTGGTTAATTTAAGGTCGGGTTAAATTTTGGGTTGGGTCAACAAATGTTAAACCTTACTCATAAACATTTCCGGTTAGGGTAATGCCAAAATTAAAGGAATTAATCTTAAAATTCCAAATTTAAAAGAAATTTAAAAATTCAAACAATAAATAGTAAACAATAAATATTAAAGAGTGACATGTGACCAAACCTCGACCCAACCCCAAAATTTCTAGGTTGGGTCATTCTCATATTTCGAGTTGCTAGATATTAGACCTTGACCTTGTTTTTCTAGTTGGGTCTAGTTGGGTCTAGTTGGGCTCACAAGTGGGATCAACTTTTTTGCTATGTTTTTTTCATGGTAGAGATTGCTCCTTCTTGGTCTGACGTTTTAATGGCTTATATGCCTTTTTGGCTAACGTTTTAGTAGTTTTAAATCCTAATATCACAATAGGTTTGCATCAAAGAATGAAGGGGAGGGGTGAGGAATTAAAATAGGTTTCTCTTTTGGAAAGCAATTAGAATGGGTTTAGAAACAAGGAACAAAATAGCAAAATACTATGGTGCCACAATAGGTTAGTAAAGAAATGGAGAGAAGAGAGGGGAGATGAATTATAATAGGCTTCTTTTTTGTAAGCAATTGGAATAGATTTCTTGTGGAAAAGAAAAACCAAGTTAAGATAAAAAATATTGACACACCCCAATACTTCAAATGGGGTGTATTTAGTGTTTCAACCCCATACACCTTGTCAGCACCCAATTTTTGCTTGACCCCTTCACCCTACCTCTTTTATACCTTCATTTCTGACAAAAAAACTTGGAATCACAACCATATCAAATTGAGACTTTACAAAGTCAAAAATCTCTCTTTTGACACAATCCATAGGATAAATGAAAATCTCAAGACCAATATCGACATCCAATCAAATATAGCCTACAGACTTAGGAAACTATAAATTATTCATACATCCAACGTTCATCACACCAACTTCCTTTCTAATGGCCCTGATCCAACACACCCATCGCCTCAAGATCACTAGGATCCAATACTATTGCAAGTCTACAATGACCAATCTCAAAAGTGTCAATATTTCATTTTGATGGCACAACTAGAATTAGAAAGCCTAGATTAACCATTTCTTTCTCATATCATAACCATTCACTTGACTCCTCACCTTAATCATTGCATACCCACCAAATTTCATCACAAAATCCCCCCATTTGACTTGCCATCAAGCCTATATCCTATTTAAAAAAATCTCATCAAGTAGAGCTTATCATCCACCATCCCAATTTCATATGATTGGTCAGACCTCACCATTGTGTACAAAAACCCAAAAAACTCTAGAACGCCAAATTTCATCCCAAAGTTCCCCCATTTGACCCTTCATTAAACAAAGATTCTATTTCAACAAATCTTTTTGATTCAAACTTGTTAGCCATAGGTCTCCATCATCCCGACCCTATTTGGCCAATCGGACCTCACCACTATGTTCAGAGACCCAAAAAAACCCTAGCATGTCAAATTTCATTACCTAATTTGCCATTTGATCATTAAACAAGGAAAGTGCCATTTTGACGCACAAGATTGAATCACCACCTCATCTGTCCTAATATGAAACCTCAAAAGTGTGATGGCTGATGTCAGACCCATTCTTGACCTATTCAAATAGTTGGACCAGTGGAATTGAGCTTAATAGACCCAAAAAGCCCAAAAATCCCAAAGATACCCTCACTTAAAACTAAGAAGAGACAAAACCACTTTTCAAAGTTCATTAAATTTACATTTTTTGCCATTGTCAGGCCCAAATACGGGATTGCAATGTCCACCATACCCCAATCTTTTATTGGACGCACAAAACCTGTGAAAACCATCCCCAAATTGAAGAAAACCTTTCACCAAACAAGAAGGCTTGACCAAACACCATTTTTTTTTGAAAAATCTTTACGTAATTTTGTGAAAAAGTTGTCTTCAAGCCCAGGTCCTTTGATTGGACGAATTTCAGAACTCTCCCCCTTCCCTTCTCTATAAATATTGATCCAACTCGAGCTCAAGAAAAGGAGGGGATCTAGAGAAAGGAAAGACAAAAAGAAAGAGCCAAAGAGGCATTCCCAACTCCTATAGATGCCCCATTCGTAAGAAAACCCCCAAACATGTTAGACAGTGTATGCCCTTAGCTCTAATTAGATTGATGTACTTCTGA